TTTGCATTATGAGATGGATTGAGTCCCTAGGGGAGGAGTGAAATGTTGTGAATCAAAGTGATGATTTTGGCTATCGAGTTGACAAGGGGTGGATTTGTGGTGGTTAATCTTTATTGGCAACTGGACTAGATTAAGAGATGCTGAAGGATTAGCAAGTCGTGAGGGTGTTTCCAGACACAATTAGATCATGAGAGCGCTGATTTAATGAGTAGTTTAGCCTCTTGATAAACTCATAATATATTGGTATTATTGGGATGTGATGAGAGTTAGAAGTTGGGACCTAGTTGGAGTAAAATGTCTCTGGAGGCATATCCTAGGGAGCATATCTTGCCCTAGCCTCTTCCTATAACCCTTTTCCTCTGCCTCCTGCCAACCATAATGTGAACAGCACTACTTCACCATATGCCCAAGTGTGTAGGAAAAAGACCACGGACTGAACCTCTGCAACTGTTGCTCAAAATAAAGCCTTCAGACTCTTTGGTTATGTCAGGCACTCTTTCACACAAAAAGAAGAAATAGAAATGCACCTCTGAATAAGAGTATAGAGCTTGAATTTTAGACCTCAAAATGTGTTAAACATCTATATTTTAAAGGGTATAATTAGGCAGTCTGACTTCAACATAGTCAATAGTCTTTTAGAGACATACCTAAACCTCTGTCTTATGATTGGAGATTATGTATATTACACTTTTTTTTAATTAATGAAGGAGAGATGGCGTGATTCCACAGAAGGAAAGGGAAATCAAGCTCACAACCTTTTGTCAGAGAGTAGAGTTCACAGAGCAAAGTGATTCAAATCCTCCCACTCTGTCACTGATTGAGAATTGTGACACAAGGCAAAATGCACATTTGTTTTACATAATAATTAATCATAACACTTTTTTTTGTAAGTAACTTTCTCTGGTTTCTGAAAATGCTATTTCCAAAGTAGACCAAGACTGGAGCAAAGGTTGCACAGCATTGCTAGGTGATTAGATGATTTCCCATGTGTCACGTACATGGTGCTCATTCACAGTCAGTACCTAGGACAGAGTCGTTCATTCATGTACAAACACCCTGCGAAACAGCTTCTGACATCCTATTCACAGACAAGTCATGAGGTTCCATCCTGAGGTTCAGAAAACATGTCCATACTCACAAGCTGAAACCGTCTAGAATCAGATCGGTATTTCTCCAATCCACCATGGAACCTCCCCTTCCTCTGTGCTTCTATCTCAGTTTCCTAGTCAGAGTCCTTTAGCCACCTACAGGTTGGAAATGGAGGGAGTGAGGAGATCATATAAGTCATAAGCTCATTTCTGTGAGCAACTTTTCAGGGATTTAATGAGAACAAAAAAATTAATATGCTTTTGTCTGGCTTTAGTGTGACGAACAAAAACACTGAATTAATTGAGACATTGAACAAATATATTTAGTTCTATAAGAAAAGGGGATCATTTTGAAAATAATACCCTGTGAACATAGTAGAAAGTTAAAGGGGTTATGGATCTGAGGTGGTTTCAGGTCCCTGCTCTTAGCAGAGAGAAGGGAGTCTAGAGGTACATGGCAAATCCTAGGATTGGAAGGTATGCAAACTTGGGAAGGGTGATAAAATTCTGGCCTTTTCTGAGAACACAAAAGAAATAAATACTTTCTTTGAAGGGCAGTTTTGAGATAATGGATGTAACATTCCTAATAGGGACTCAGGAAATGGTTACACCCTCCTACCCCTAGGTCCTGAACTCAGGTAGAATCTCACACTGAATATCACATGGATCCTGACTCTTCTCTTTATTTTTCAAACATTTAATCTACTTACCTATAAATTGATTTCTCTACACATCAAGCTTTGACTGGAATGAGATTTCTACAGATCAGATTTTTTTCAAATAAGTTGCATTGCATCTTCTTTTTGGTTTTTTTTTTAATAAGTTTTGTTCTGTTTCATCTTGTTTTTTCTTTAATCCTGTACAGATGTCAATAATATTCACCAATTACCTACATTAGCAATACTTTACCACATCCCTGTTTTCCAACCCCATGAGATTGGGGGATCCACTGCTTCTCTCTCCAGGTATTCCTTCCTCTCTGCAGGATCACACTGCAGTCTGGATGAAAGAGACCATGTCTCTCCAACATCCTTTTCTTTACCTGGAAACACGGGCATTTCTCTGATTCTGTTGTAATTCCTTATTCCCTATGTACATGTATTTCATTCTTTTTAAAAAGCTCCCCTGAAACTTCCTAACTAACGCTCACTGAGCAGCTTCAATATATCAAGTAATGACTGCAGCTGGTAGTGAACAAAATACAATACTGATTTTGTACCTGTCCTATGGCAGTTTCAATCTAGTCAGGACACAGGCTTGTGAACAGCTGAGAAGGCAGAAAGTACCCTGCACTGGCTTCTCTTTATGGGGTCCTGGGAACTCCAACCCAGGAACTGTGATTCTCATAACCAAGCAAGTGAGAACCAGGCAGGGAAGGCCGCCAGCCTACAGAGAATGAATGACCTCTGTACCTTCTGCCCAGGTGTGTCCCACCTGCCAGGATAGTGGCCCTTCAAACTAGGGCCACAACTCGCCTTTGTTGAAATGTTGTTCTCTGAAGCATTTTGCAATATGCTTTTCATCATCTCCCATAAGAACCTTTAGATTTTCCTGTGAAATCTATGAGATCCAAACAGAAAAACTCTCTGAAAACCCTGTTCTCTTATTTATAATCACTTTCTCTCCTCCCCTCAATATTAACATTTATTTCAGGACATTATTGATGTTGAACATTTTAACAGGATAATTTAGGTGATTTAGATGTTCCAGTGATGTATAATTTCCCATTTAAACTTCTGATTTTTAGTGGTGGAGACGTCAGGTAGTCAAACAATTCTCAACCAAGGGCCCTTTCCTGGTGATGTTTAGCAATGTCTAGAGGTAGTTTGGGTTGTCACACCTGGGAAGAGTTGGTCCCCATAGAATTTCCCTGCCTTCCAGTGGCCAGAGAGGGCAACACAAAAGGCATCTGGAACACTGCCATGCTATAGTACCCAGAGTCAACCCTGTCCTTGAAGGGCACAGGGCAAATAATTCCAGAGTAGATCTTTGTGCAGAGCTCTGACTTCCTCCCTAGCTGATTCTGGTTTGCAGGGCAGTTGACAGACATTTCAACTGGTGCCACCCACACACCACCTCTGCGGGTTGCCTGGCTGACGGCACAAAGGGAAGAAGGAAAAGGTGAGTAATCCCGACCTGTGCTGTCTCAAGTGTGCAGAAGCTCAGATTAGTGCCGACACGAGCACCTACTCTTGCCCCACGATGGACTACCTTGAGGACAGGAAGTTTTATTTTTTATGGAGGCTTTTTTAGTTATTGCTGTTTTGCTTGAATGTGTATTCTTTGTCTCTCTCTTTTATTCTCCTTTTAATACTTAACCTTTTAACATTCTTTTTGCTTTGAACTTTCTCTTTTTTGTTATTTACCCTTTTGCTAGTGTATACATTTTTTAATTCCTTTTATTTGTATGTGCATACAATATTTGGGTCATTTCTCCCCCCTTCCCCCCCACCCTCTCCCTTTCCCTTGTCCCCTCCCTCTTCTCCCCACACCCTCACTTGCAGGCAGAAACTGTTTTGTCCTTATCTCTAATTTTGTTGAAGAGAGAGTATAAGCAATAATAAGAAGGACAAAGGGTTTTTGCTAGTTGAGATAAGGATAGCTATACAGGGAGGTTCCTCGCATTGCTTTCGTGTACATATGTGTTACATTCTAATCTGATTCTTCTTGAACTAACCTTTTCTCTAGTTCCTGATCCCCTTCTCCTATTGGCCTCTGTTGCTTTAAAGTTTCTGCATTAGTCCCTTTGCATTGAGGACATCAAATGCTATCTTGTTTTTTTGGGTTTCTTACCTATCCTCACCCCTCCCTTGTGTGCTCTCGCTTTTATCATGTGACCAGAGACCAATCCCCTTGTTGTGTTTGCCCTTGATCTAATGTCCACATATGAGGGAGAACATACGATTTTTGGTTTTTTGAGCCAAGCTAACCTCACTCAGAATGATGTTCTCCAATTCCATCCATTTACCAGCGAATGATAACATTTCGTTCTTCTTCATGGCTGCATAAAATTCCATTGTGTATAGATACCACATTTTCTTAATCCATTCGTCAGTGCTGGGGCATCTTGGCTGTTTCCATAACTTGGCTATTGTGAATAGTGCCGCAATAAACATGGATGTGCAGGTGCCTCTGGAGTAACCTGTGTCACAGTCTTTTGGGTATATCCCCAAGAGTGGTATTGCTGGATCAAATGGTAGATCAATGTTTAGATTTTTAAGTAGCCTCCAAATTTTTTTCCAGAGTGGTTGTACTAGTCTACATTCCCACCAACAGTGTAAGAGGGTTCCTTTTCCCGCATCCTCGCCAACACCTGTTGTTGGTGGTGTTGCTGATGATGGCTATTCTAACAGGGGTGAGGTGGAATCTTAGTGTGGTTTTAATTTGCATTTCCTTTATGGCTAGAGATGGTGAGCATTTTTTCATGTGGTTTTTGGCCATTTGGATTTCTTCTTTTGAGAAATGAACTTTCTTTGTTTGTATCACTTTTTACCTTACTCCTACTTTCCCTCCTTTTTCTTTTTAAATTTAATTTTTTCTTCTTTCCTTTTCCCTTTTATTTTCTTATACCTTACTCTTATAAATATACTTTACTTTTTTTATTTTGTAACTTTTTAGTTTATTCTACATTAATTTTGTCCCCTTATTTTCTGTTGGTGGTGATTTCTTTTTACTTAATTTATCTTTTACCTTTAATTTGCCATTGCTGTTACTGCTTGCCTTCCTCTTTATATGAAGTGCCAGGGATTGAAACTCACACTGAGCACATTGTGTACAGGTACAGTTTGTAAAACTTTATTATCTCACAATAGCCAGATTCAATCGATACATGAAACATCATATTCTTGAAACATCATTCCTGCAAAACATCTTATTTTGGAATGCATAGAACTGCCATCGCTGGCTTTGTTACTATTTGAAAATCTTCCTAATTTCTTTCATACATTGTTCAGTAATAGGAGGCTTCCTCTGACTGCCAGGCTGCAGGAACTTCTTTACATTGGGGAGGTTACTGATCTTGGTCTTCAGGGCCTGCAATACAAAAACCACAGCTTCAGAAAGCAGCTCAAAGTCCAAACCAACTGTTAGCACAACCCAGGAAATCTGAGCCCCTTTGGACAAAGTTCATCTCTCTATGACACCAGTGTAGAGGTTGGGAACAGACAACCAATGATTAAGAAGATAAGAGAAAGAAATAGTTCAAAATAAGTTTCTTTAAAGACTTCTCCTTTTTTTTCCACAGTTATTATTATTCATTTTATTTTGCAACAAATAGGCATAATTCATATGTAAATTGAACATAAATTCATTATTATTTGTTTGCAACTTTTAAAGACTTCTCTTAAGAGTATTCGGTTCACAGTTTTCACTGCCCTCTTAGGCACTTGTATATTAATTTTTCTATTGCAAAACAAGAACACTGTGTCTTTCAGGTATGCACAGAGAAATATCCAGAAGGACATAAAGACATGGAAAAATTGAGTTGTAAATGAAGCTAGAAAATATTAATGTTGAACCAGAAGTATGTCACAACCATTTTTCACACTGAGAGATGAATTTGGGGTTTTGAGTGGAGGACTGTCTTGTGTAGGAAGCTTTAGAGAGACACACAATGGTCTGAGGAGCCTGAGCTGAGGGAAGGAAATGAGATGGAAAAAGACTGGATAGACTCAGTTCAAAGACAAGGATACACAAGACAAAGGAACACCAAAGGGGTTAGGAATAGAGCCCATATGGAATAGGGGTCATGAGAGAGAGTTTCTGGGTCCTGTGTCCTTTTCATTATGAAAGACCAAGCGTTCTTTTTGGGATAGCATCCATTTCAAATTTCCTTGCATAGAAAGATTATTTTCATGCTCTAAATCCAGGGCACAGAAGCTCAATTTGGAGGTCTAGGTTGAATTCCAAACCTCGCCAGCACAAAGTTCTAAATGTTATATTCATTAAGGGAGAAGTGGGGCTGCCTGTGTGAGGTCTGTGAAATACATCACCCGCAGCAGAGGGAAGGTGGCCAGAAGACTGGCGTCAAGCTCTTCTATGTAGATGAGAATTTCCAACAGGTGAATGTCAGCCCTGCTCAGTCTGTTGCCAACAAGGTAGTCTTGTCCATGGCTCTTCAACACCTGCAGAATTGGAGGAGTCAGACTCTGAACACACACACACAGTTAGACTGGGGACCTGCCTCTTCCTGAGTCTCTAAGCCAACCCCTTCCCTTTGCTGCCTACCTGGGCAGGTGTGGAGATCCAGACCTTTCTGTTGGCTCCTACTGATGACAGACAGTGAGAAATGGGAACTAAGGTGAACCTTCTTTTCTCATTCACCCATCCAGGTGGTATTCACACTACCTACCCTTACCTTTTCCACAAGTGCCAAAGACTTAGGTCATGCTGCACTGTGTTTCTGCCTGCCCCACCCTAAAAGTGTACAGCTCTGAGGTTTCAGGAAGCATCTTTTTCCTCTGGTGTCTTTCTCCCATCTCTTGTGTACAGGGACTTTACCTTCAAAGCAGCAGACTAGAAAATTTCGGTGTCTACATTTCTCCTTGTCTGCTCTCATCATTTGCTGGGTACCTGTCTGGGATCTCAGTAAAATGGAGTGAACTTAAATCCTCATCTCCTTTGTAACATTGGCTCTGACTCCTAATTTACACTGATGTCTGAAACTAAAGTACTGATCAAAAATGAATATCTGACTGATGGAGGCAGAGTGAAGAGTTTCAGGAACATGATAAAACCAACACCAAAAGCTGTTAATTTTGCTTTGTAAGTGATGAGTATGCCTTCACTAAATATTTATTTCAACATTGTTTAGTGTATAAAAGTTGTACAATAAATCTTGGGAAAATGGGTAAGATACACTTAAATATTCAGGTATATGGAAATGATTGAGAATAAAGAGGAAATCACACATGACCTCATCCCTAAAGATAAAGCACTGTTAAAGATTTTGGTAAAGATGCATACATATGCATATATATCTATGAATGAACAGATAATTACCTGACAGAGATATACAACAGAAAAGGCTCTCTTGTGATATACATACATAGTTCATTTCAGGCATGGAGCACTCTGACCTCACAACAGAGCTGGCTTAAACTGTAAGGTGAGCTTTCATCGTGTGGTGTGTTTAAGTCTATCAGCAACACAGGTCAAGGGAGGAGTACGTGAGCACCTGATTGCTTTAAAATCTTCATTGCTTTCACGTGACCAGTCAGCAAGGCGTCATCTTTTGTTGTATGAGTGAAAGTGTAACGGGATGCTTTACAAAAGGGAGCACTTGAAGAGATTGTTTTCCCATTTATGTGTCAAATTCTTATACTACTAAAGTTCTTTACTACTTAATTTTTACTTAGCATAAGTACAAGGAGTTTTGAAATGTCCTCAATGTTCCTTCAAAGAAAAGCCCTTAGACAGGCCCTACTTAAAATACAATGGCCCTGTGTTTCTTAGTGTGCATGGCTTTCTTCTCAAGTCTGACAGCCATGTCCCCAAATCCTGCAAATTCATTTTTCTTAACATTTCTTCCTCTCCCACCCCTCTCCATCTCCCCACCACTGTCCTTGTTCAGCTCCTTCTCATCCATTCTTGAGGCTCTACAAATCCTCCTGACAGGCTGCTGCTCTCCTGTGACCCTCCACGTGATGCCAGAACATTTTCTGATCTGTGTGTTCATCAGCTTGTTCTGGAATTCAGGTCCATGTTGTCCTGCAGTATTGAGTCCACCTCTGCTGTGGCTCAGAGCCTCCCACAACCAGATTTAGTTACAACCGTGAACTCTGTCAAATACCGAATACTAATTGCCATGTATAAAGTGAATTTTGCTGAAATCTTATAGCTTTCTGATCTATGCAATGCTTCCCCATGGTCCATTTCTCTGAAATGCTTTGAGGGTCAGGGTGCAGCCCTGGTGCTCAGGAAGGCTCACTGGAAGTGAGGTTGATGCTCTAGGACAGCCCAGCCATGATTTCCTCTCATCCTCTGAACCCAGTGCCCCAAACTCTGCACAGGCTCTCTTACATTTTCAAAGACGGGCAAGTAGCGATTCACTGTTCTGTCTTTGAGCAAGGCAATCTTGGCATCTTTTTCCTGAGGAGGACATAGGAGTGGGCTCCAGATCATTTCAAGCAAATCTACCAAACCTTCTGTGTACATATCAATCCTGAAAGGCAGAAACATCCAATCAGTCAACCATTTCCTCTTTTAGATTTTAGCTTAAAAACCTAGGAAAGTGCAGTGTCAGAAGACTGTACTCTAATTCACACTTTGTGGGTGCTTTTTTTCTTTTTGAATTTGAACTCAAGGCTGTCTGCTTGCTTGTGGCACGGTATCAGTAGAGACACACCTCTAAGCCTTTTTTTGTAGTTATTTTTCAGGTGTGGTCTTATGCTTTTACTCAGGGCTTGGTCTTCTACCCTCTCCAACCTATGCCTCCCTGGAGCGAGAGTATCTTTAATATGTTCCACCATGCCCTGCTTTTTGGTTAAAATGGGGTCTTGCTAACCTTTTGCTCAAGTTATCCTCTAACAGTGATCCTCCCGACGCTTACCTCCTGAGCAGCTGCTATTAGTCATGGGCACTATGCTGTGTCCATCATAGTTTCTTAGAAGAATGTGTTCTTAGGAGAATGTGTAGAATACAGTAGACCCTTGGCATCCTCGAGTATATGGCCCCAAAGACACAGCAGATATGGACAAACCATGCAGGCTCAGGATGCATGGAATTCAGTGCTGTACCAATGCCGTTGATCATTTTCCCATAATGCCACCCAACTTCTGGCCAAAGGTATGTCACCTTTCACAAATCTAAAATGGTCACTTTACTACTTTAATTAAACAATTAACTTTAACTTGCCTTGGGAGCACCACTTACTTTTGGGGTGGCAGATTTTTCTCAAAATGAAAGGGGGGAGCACTGAGGAAATCACACAATGATTTTAACTCAACTCAAATTAACACAGTGCTGACTGAGAGCATCTTTGTATCAACTGAGCTGGACAATGTGTGCACAAGGATTTAAATTCTTTGTTTTAGAAATGTCTTTTGATTTTTTAGTTTGTTATTTTTGTCCATGCTTAGTCAAAACCACACATAATAAATCAGTGACTACAGGGGGCTTACTGTATTTCCAAAATTTTGTTATAGCCACGATCAAGCACTGACACAAAGGACATGGGTGGCCTATCCAGAGTCATAATCGTGTCAGAACATGGTTCAATCACTGCATGTAACCACGAATCCTACAAATAAGGTTAATTTCTCTGCTGTGGATTGTTCAATGCATCAAATACTGTGATTTTTATGGCTAAAGACCTCCATCCTAAGATAGGCATGATGGTACACACCTGTAATCCCAGCTACTTAGGAGGCAGAGATCAGATGATCTTGAGTTTGCAGCCAGCCTGGGCAAAGTTAGTTATACCCTACCTCAAAAAAAAAAAAGTAAAAAGAATAGGGGGATGAATCAAGTGGTATAGCCTAGAAAATGTGAGGCTCTCAAGTGCAAAAAAAGGAACTTCCTCCTATATAAGCTCAAGACGAGACACAGGCTCAGCTTCTCAGTCACAGCTGTTTTTCTCTCATCCTATTATCCAATGATGGAAGGTCTCCTAACAATTTCTTAAGAAACACATTTCCACCACCTTCTCCACTTGCTATTTTTCAGCTCTAGTCTAGTGCCTAAAATACCCACTTACTGGGTACAATATTCAATTACAGCCAGTGCATGTTATAGGACATGTACATTCTTGTTGTTTCAAACCAGAGTGTCTACAATTCCTTTGAAAAAGCAACCTTCTTGTCACATATTCACACACCATCGTTATCAGCCCTTTGAAAGGTAATATTTGGCGTTTTTAGTGTATTCACAGAATTGTGCAAACGTGAACACTCTCTAGTTTCAGAACAGTCTCATTGCTCCCTTCTCCCAAATCATGCATGTTTGGGCAGTCACTCTGTATTTCCCTCCTTCCTGTCCCAGGAAACAACTTGTCTCTTTTCTGGCTCTATCAGTACTAACGTTGTGAACATTATACACAAAATTAATCACCAAATTGTCATCCTTTGTGTCTGATTTCTTTTATACCATATATTCTTTCCAAGTTTATCCGTGTTGTAGCATGCATCACTGCTCTCTCCCTTTTCATAGCTAAAACTGTTCTAACGCATGGTTATTGCTGCTAAGACTCTTTCTTTATAAGCATTAGCAAAAAAGTATTTTCATTTTCCATGGGTATAGAACTGCTACTGGAATTGAGGTTAACACTGTGTTTTTAAGAAGTGCCAGCATTTCCACACAGGATTTTGTTTTCAATGAAGCAGTTCCATCCCACCAGGGTGAATACCCCACCATAGGGAGACAGCCAGCCTGGCTGCTTTGGTCTTGCAGGAAATGCTTCCCATAGCCCTGGTTCCTTGAGCGCTCGCCTCTGAAACCCTCATCAAGCTGACCAGTCCATTGAATTGTGGGTAGTTAAGGTTCCTGGTGATCACTGTTATCATTCTGGAACTTGGGAATCAGCAGCTTTGGATTCTTGCTTCCCCAGGACTCCTCATCTATACTCTTTCCCCAGGCTGTTGGCTGAGTCCAATCTCTAGTGCCCTAAGCATCTGGAATTTTGACTCCACAATCTTCAGGATGTCAGGTTCTCATCACTGTTTGAAACTCTTTCCTTGTCTTATGTCTGAGAACATCATCCTCAACTATATTAACATTCACCTGAACCACCTCATCTCCACGGGACTCTGCCATAGTCATTTCCTTGTAAATGCCCAGGAATAGTCTGTGACTGGCCACAACCCCCCTTCCATGACCCTGCCCAATCAAACAAGGACCTATATCCTTTCTGTGTTATCTACGGGGGTAAGAACAGAAAATACACCATACAGGGCTCGCTCCTTCATGTCTTTCCCGTAGAGATCATATTTGCTGGCAATGTAGTTGAGGATGGCTCTGGTCTGCACCAGCTTCATCCCATCCATCTCCACCATGGGCACCTGCTGGAACATCAAAACTCCATCTTTTGGAAGAAGAACAAAAAGGGAAAATGACATGTTTGTGGTATCCACTCTTTCAGGATAAGAAAATGTTTATTCAGATTATTCAAATGGCTAAAGATACACAAGCAAAAAAAAAAAGACTGGTTATCTTTCAAGTGAAATGTGTATATTTTTGTTTCTTCTTTTTCTTACCTCTATTCCTTTGTATTTTTAGCCCATTTCATTTGTCTTTTTTGTCCTATGTAGATACATACTAGATCTTTTGTGGGCTAGGGTGGGGGTTTGGTGTGTTTAATTCATCTTCATGGATATTTTAGGAAGGATAGGCAGGACTACAACAGTTCCCAAGAAAATGTCAAATTAGGCAGGAGTTTCCAAACTGAGTCCCATTGTGTTCATAACATTGAAGGTGGGTTCTGAGAGAGGTTTCTGTAGACTTCTGATTGTGTGGAACTCCAAGCCTGCACTGTAGGTGGGACAGTAACTCATCACAGCCATGGATGAAAAAGCAGAACGTAACTGTCCCATCTGTTCCTCCTCCTGTTAACTAATGCTTCCATCTAATGTGATCACATCCCTGTGTGTGCTTGGATGGAGGGCGATGTGGGATCCTGAGCTGACTGCAGCTCATTCTGGCACAGGAAGCAGGAGAAAGCAAGGAGAGGGCATTCATGGGGAACTGGGCGAATACTCAGAGCAGTCTAGTTCTTTCTAACACTGACTGAGTTGTCAGACTGTCATGGAGCCTCACCCCTTACATTTTAGCTCTCTCTGCTACATGACCAACCCCACCCATCTACCACCCTACCAACTTGCTGCCACTGTCTGATGTATAAACTGTACATTAGATACTTTTATTAGGGATCTGAAGATACTTGGTCCTACCATTTTTTAGCTTTTCCATGTCTTCTGGAGATTTTATAAACTTCTCTTCAAACTGGAAGCAGAAAAAGTAAATGAGTTCATGTTAGTTCAATCTACATAGTGTTACAGCTTTTTAAACATAAGTGATCCCTGTTTGGTAATTAATACGGAGAAGTTAAAATTTCTACTTTGTCAGTAGACACAGAGGAGTCTGATCACTGCCAAGTGGAAATTTGATTAGCTCCATCAAGAAAGGGCATGGAGCTGGGCACTGGTGACTTACACCTTTAATCCTAGTTACTCAGGAAATAAATCAGGAGAACTGCAGTTTGAAGCCAAGCTAGGGCAAATAGTTTGCAAGAACTGATCTCAAAACTATCCATAGAAAAAAAGGGCTGGCAGAGTGGCTCAAGTGGTACAGCACCTGACTAACAAGCTTGATGTCCTGAGTTCAAATCCCAGTACCACCAAAAAAGAAAAAGGTAAGGCATGGATCCCAACACATAGCTGTTCATTCTTGCAGTTCAGCTATTCCCTGACTACACCAATGTCCATGATTAGGTTATAATGTCACTGAAGGGAAAGGACTGAGAATTTCTTTGGCTTTTGAAATTTTTTGGTCTCAGGAAGCCTATGATCTCCAGTGAGAACAGAACAGAATCTTTTGTATTCCCCATCATGTCCTTGATGTGGCCAATGATCATCTAAGATTCTCTCACCACAGGACCTCTAGTGTCATTTACATCCTTCTTATAATTCAGAAGGAGGTTTTAATCATCAAAGGTTGAAAAATAGATTCTGCCTTGCTTGGTAGAACAGTGTTGTTGATTTCCATAATCTCACAGGGTTAAGCTGTGCAGTTAGTGAAGTGTGTGGACCAGCAATTTACACAGCATCCATTAAGAATGGATCGTGGTGGTGGTCCACATAGGAGATAACTGGATGGGTGTGGTAGGCAAGGGCAATGTTTATGACATTGGAGGCTAATGACAATGGAGGGGACTTTTCATCAGCATTTGGGCACAGAGAATCCGGGCCTGACCAAGGGTCTCTATTAGTCCTTGCCTGCTACCTTCCTCACTTAATCTGGCAAGGAGGAGAGGAAGCCTTGGATACTAATGGCATCACCCTACTCTCCTCCTGTGCTGAACTTGTCTTCCCATGACTGGGAACAAATTCCTGAAACACAAAGCTAGCACATACAGCCAGATTATTTGTTTATTAAAAACAAACAACTTGGATCTGCACTACAGTGTGTGATTGTTTCTTTATGAAATTAAGAAATAAATCAAACTAAAGACCTATGGCTTTATGAAAAAACAGAAAAAGTGTGAATACAGTACTATGAAGTTAAGGAAATACACTGAAAATTGCATTCACGGGACAAGTCCTCACCCTTTAACCTTCCTTTTTTGCCCCTCCTTAAGGGAGAAGATCTCGAGCATATCTAGACTTCCTCTCCAGGATCCTTCATTTAATTGCTGAGTCCTTCCAGTGTAGACTGAGATATGCTTTTTTGCATTGATGCATCTAGAGGGTATGGCTCTACTTGAATCACACAAGCCTACTAGCAATTCATACTTTTAAAAAATTAGAAAGAACAGTCTTTTTCCTGTAAAATGTTTGCTTCCATGACGCTCCTATATCGTCCATTTGCTTATCTGAATCCTCATTGATGTGTAGGCTACCTGAGGTCAGGAACCTGTCTGTCTGTTCACCCTGTATCTTAAGACCTATCACAGAACCCAGCATTTTAACAGGGACTGCACAAAATAATTGCTAAATAAATGCATTGCCTTGTTAGCAGACAGTTTGTCTATCCAGTTCCTCCCTCCTCTCATTTGTAATTTTTATTTTAAATTTAATTATCATGTTTATTTATTTTTTTATATCTTTTCTGGTTTTATGTAAATTTCTAGTATGTATGAAAATATACATAAATACAAGCCTCCTTATATTAGTCACGCAGTTCTAATAATTGCCAAATCAGGCTATTCTTGTTTCTTATCTATGTCCATCTTCTCTGTTACTCTGGCCAGAATATCAGACAAATATAGGTATCACATGATCCTATTGTAAATACTTTTTGTAAGTGTTTGAACATACATAACACTTAAAAAATGACAACAGTACCACACAGAAAGCCACACTAAAAATTTATAGTAATTCTTTAATATCTCCTTTATTCAATCAATACTCAAGTTTCTAATTGCTGAATAAGTGTCGTAAATTATACAGTATAGTTTATTTAAATCCAAATAAATTCTACCCAATGTGATTATTTAAGACTTCTTTTCATTGTCTTAAAAATATCATTTAATTTTGTCTGTGCCTTTGATGGACAGATTACTGAAAATTTCATTTGATCAAAGCAGTCCACTTCTTTCTTAAAAACTGGGTATTTCAAGGCAAAACCTATCGCAAGTTATGTAGTATGGAAGTATCTTGGCATGGAAGAATATTTTGCAAAGGTCAGTCTTACACACAGAAGATGACCCCATGCAGAACCTACCTCCACTCCAGCTGCAGCCAAAAGCCAGCGGATGAGCTCCATTCTGCCCCGGCTATTGAGGTAGTGAAGAACAGGCTTCCCTGCCATATTGGTAGAATCTTGGTTTCACTAAATGTGAATGAGAGAATGAAATAATGAGTCCACAGAAGCAAAATATACTTTGGAATTATGGCTAGTAATCTACCACTATACAAGGACCATCTACCTTCTTCATGGAAGGTTTGGAGGACTCCCAGAAACACCCTCCTTGGCCCATATTATCTCCCAGCAGTGGTACCATCCTGACACTGTACACCCCCAGTCTTGTTTGCTCAGTTGTCCTAATTTGGAGGACATTGGCAGAGCAGCCCAGATCTTATAGTGGTGAAGCACTGGGAAAACTATCAGGGGACCTTGAAAACCAGTCTCAGCACTGCCAGAGAAGCATCAGGTGCAGACCTCCTTAGCTCCTTGGATGCTTTGTTCAGAAGCTTTCACTGATGCTTAGCCTCACCCTGACTGGAACCCAAACCTAACTTGTCCCCATGGGAGAAGATGCTGATTTCTTTCTCTAATGGAAATTTCTTAGTCTTCCACTTCTGGATTGAATTTTATTTTACAATCTATAAAATCATATTAGCTGCACAGCAACTAACCTGAGTTAAGTGTCTACCACATAAAGACCTATCTAATTTTTTATCCTCATGCAATCATCATGAAAGTTGCTTGATATAGAACCTTCAAGTTCTAAATTTACAGGTGAGAATGCTGATGTCTGTACAGGTTACATCCTGTGATGAGCTATGTTCAAATGTACTTGGACACTATCTTTACTAGTGCTTCCTTTACTGGTTTACTAGTTTTCCAAATAATGGCCCATGAGTTATTATTGGGTTGTAACATCTACACCATAAGTTCTGAGTAGCATACCCAAGTTCCAGAAATATAGAAAATATCATTGGGTCACAAATGGTAAAGGTAAGTGCTATCTGGTAAAACCTTACTTTAGTTCCACTTAAATGCTATGAATACACATATGTGACTGTATGAAATGCACCTCCCTGGGACCAGCAAAAGAAGCTTGACAGTCTTTGCTGCCCAGTTCAAAGGCTTTCCTGCACTGTTGCCATTTGGGGCTGGGTAGTTCTCTGTTCTGGGAGGCTGTCCTGAGCATTGCCACGTTTACTAAGCAGCCTCCATAGTGTAGTGCTGTGTGCCCTCCACCCCCAGTCATGACAACCGAGGGCATCTCTAGACTTTACCAAATGTCCTCTGGGGACAAACTCACCTCTGTCTGAGAACAGCACAGAGAAGAAAGCCAAAGAGAGCACCTCACACTATGACTAGCACATTCAGCAATGGGGTTGAGCAAGTTGTAAAAGGAGTGTACACACAGAAGCACAGGATTTATTACAAAGCAAGCGTTTATTGCCCTGATGTAGAGCAGGATAACTTCAGCTCCATACTTACTTGCCAGACCTATGGTCAGAAACACATAAAAATGGGTTTGGTACCATTTGAGCCATTGTTCAATTTTTAGCACACGTGTATTTCTCTTTACACTACTTGTGTATCAGAAAACACATGAGAAACTTGAATTTTTCTACATGCCAGGAGAACCTTTAATTTTTCTTTCTTTGTTGCCTTCTTTCTAGTTCACATGTAAATGTATTTCTCATTTTAAAGTGTCCCATTGAAACTTCCTATCCCTCATTGAGCAGTTTCCATACGTCAAGTAATAATGGTGGCTGCTGGAGAAGGAAAAATCAGCCTAATATGGTCTCTGACTGAAGGAATTTAAAACTGGTCAGGACCTCAGGCTTGTGGACATCTGGCAGAGAAGAATGTGCCCTGCGGCAGCTTCACTTTATGGGTCCCTGAGATTTTAACCCAAACTCATCATGTTCTTAGCCAAGCAAGTCCAAGCTTAGGGAGAAGGCTGCTAGCCTGAGAATCAAGGACCTGCCCTTTCTGACCAGGTTGGCTCCTACCTGCCAGGTCAGCATCATCCATACTCGGCAGCTTTCTCACCCCTCAGACCTCAGCCTTCTGTCCTTACATTGGGGTTGGTCCTCATGGGTATCTAAAACAGCTGTGAGCAGCATTTTATGAATGCTTGGTCTCCACTGTGTTTCAATTTCGCATCCCATGGGCACTCATTTTTCTTAAGAATTTGAATTTGCCATGCTCAGTTCTAAATCATCATGACTTTTTACCCCACCTCTGTAAGATTCTGAGGCTTTTTGCATAACACCTTTGTTTTATTCTTACTATAATGTCAATTATTCCAGGACAGTACTGACTCTCAATATCTTATATCCTACTTGGTGGCTTTATATGCCTTGTGAAAACTAAGCATATGTGGCACTGGTGTACCTGGCTTTCCCTCCAAGACTCCCCAAGTTAGAGAGCTAGAGATGGATCAGAGAGGTCAGCTAGACCTTCCTCCAGATATATGATGAAGACTGATTTCTAGAGAGTTCAGGTTACTAGTTATTGCAAAGTCTAGGTTTGAGCCTAGTTCTATAGTTTTGATCCTGGTTTCTTCCTGCTGTATTTCAATAGTGAATTTTCCCTTCTTACAAAGCTTACATTTTTCTTGTGCCCCCTCTCCTGTAGTTAGTGAGGTTGTAGAAAGCAGAGAAATTAATATAGTCTTTAGTGTAGTACATTGGACAAAGTCTAGTCCCCTCCATGGATATTATGAGGCTTAACACTTCAAGTGCTATGGATTCTTAAAGCATTTTCATAATCGGGCTTATTATTTAGGAATACAGTTAATGTAGGGTAATTAAACAATAAACTAGGATCACAGTAACAAAGTAATGATCTTAATTATGACCCTGCCATTCTGCTATTTAAACACAATTATCAAAGCAATGGAAGTCTCCTACATAATAGAAAAAGCTTGGTAAGAATAAATCACACAGTACAGGAAGTAATTAACTTGGCAAATTAATGGAATTAGCAAATTCTCTGTTTGAGAAGGAACATGGCATTTCAAGAAAAGGACATTGTTGTTCTTAGGCTTGCCAAGAAGTAAATCTAAGTGCACATGCCTTACTATCATAAAATCCTATACATTTAGATTCTCTTGCTATTATGAGACTTTAACTGCCACTCTTTGGACTCAGAACCTTTGAAAGAGGAGGAGGAAGAAGAAGGAAGACAAAGAGAAGGAAGAGGAGAAGGTGAAAAAGGAAGAAAGGAGGGGATGGAGGAGGAAAAAAGCTTGATGTAAGGTGCCCAGTTAGAAAGTAACTAATATGAAAATAAGCAAGTGCATCAGAAACCAATTCGGGAAGCATGAACTTTGACTGTGATTGAGAGGCATGATGATTCGTTTCCTAATTTGGCAATCTGGTTGAGGAGGCACACAGTAGGCAAACAACCACCTAGGTACATATGCTTATCAAACCCATACAAATGTACATCGCCCCTGTATGAATCACAGAAATACATTCTTTTTAATAGACAGCACACCTTCAATGTAAACTCCTACATACATGGGTAGTGGTATGAATGGATTATCTAATTGTTGATAGTAACACTACACTTGCTTTTCTTGTACCATTAATTTTCTGCCTCCCTTTTCTAAAATCTTATTTACTCTTTTTTCCTTAAAGAACTACATAATGTAGTTTTATTGCACAAAAAAAGGTGCAATAAAAAATATAAAGTTTAGCCGGGGCATTGACTCAAGTGTGACAAAAATAAAAAGTACTGTTGGGTACAGTGGCTCACTTTTGTAATCCTAGCTACTTGGGAGATGGCATTCCCGAGGATCATAGTTCCAGGCCAGCCAGGCCAAAAATTCTGTGAGACCCCCATATTAACCAATGACTGTGCATGGAAGTGAGCACCTGTCATTCCCAGCAATCCAGGGAAACTCAAATAGGAAGATAACAGTCTAGGTTGATGTAAATATAAAACGAGAAGACCCGAAACTCTGAAGTTAGTACAGGAAGGAGCAGGAAACACTCTGGAACTAATAGTATAGGCAAGGACTTCCTCAGTAGAACCCCAGCAGCTCAGCAGCTAAGAGAAAGGATGGACAAATGAGACTTCATAAAATTAGAAAGCTTCTGCTCAACAAAAGAAATGGTCTCTAAACTGAAGAGAACACCCACAGAGTGGGAGAAAATATTTGCCAGCTATACATCAGACAAAGGACTGATAACCAGAATGTACAGGGAACTCAAAACACTAAACTCTCCCAAAATCAATGAACCAATAAAGAAATGGACAACTGAACTAAACAGAACTTTCTCAAAAGAAGAAATTCAAATGGCCAAAAAACACATGAAAAAATGCTCACCATCTCTTGCCATAAAGGAAATGCAAATCAAGACCACACTGAGATTCCACCTCATCCCTGTTAGAATAGCCATCATCAAAAACACCACCAACAACAGGTGTTGGCAAGGATGTGGGGAAAAAGGAACCCTAATCCACTGCTGGTGGGAATGCAAGCTGGAGCAACCACTCTGGAAAAACTTTTGGAGACTTCTTAAAAATCTAAACATAAACCTGCCATATGATCCAGCAATCCCACTCCTAGGGATATACCCAAAGGAATGCGACACAGGTTACTCCAGAGGCACCTGCACACCCATGTTTATTGCAGCACTATTCACAATAGTCAAGTTATGGAAAAAACCAGGATGCCCCACCACTGACGAATGGATCAAGAAAATGTGGTATTTATATACAATGGAATTTTACTCAACCATGAAGAAAAATGAAATCTTATCATTTGCAAGTAAATGGATGGAACTGGAGAACATCATTCTGAGCAAGGTCAGCCAGGCTCAGGAGACCAAAAATCGTATGTTCTCTCTCATCTGTGGCCTTTAGATCTAGGGCAAATACAGCAATGTTGTAGGACTTGGGTTACATGACAAAGGGAGAACATACACGGGAGGTACAGGGTTAGATAGAAAACCCAAAGCATGAAAGCATTTGATGTCCCCACTGCAGAGGAACTAATACAGAAACCTTAAAGCAACAGACGTCAACAGGAGAAGGGGATCAGGAACCAGTGTAAAAATCAGTTAGAGATGAATCAACTTGGGTTGTAACACATTTGTACATGGAAGCAATGCTAG